TTCTTTTCTCCTTCTCCTTACATTGTTTCTCTTGTAAGATACTCAGTAAAATATGTAACTTTATAACATAGCAATGTTGGTGATTATTAAGTTTTCTTAAAATTTTTTTTAGGCTTTTTCTTTTGCTTTGACTGTATAACAACAAAATTGAAATACATTGTGTCCTCAAACAAGTGAAATATGAAGTTCTTATTACTATAGATGAATCAGAGGAGAAGGCAATGCAGGCTAAATATTAAGATGAAAATATGTAAACTAAAGACTTTAATTCTGGTTGTACCAATAGAATAAGCAAACAATCAAGAATCCCAGCTCCTAGTCTGAAGCTGCCACTAACTTGTTGCATATCCTTGGTGACTTGGCTTCTCTGTCCTTTTGAATTAGGGTTATAGTTTTACCAATTGCAGAGAGAAATCAAGTCCAATCAATTCCTCTTTCAGTCTTTTCTCTTTTGTAGTCATTCAATTGGAAAGGGTTAAAAGAAAACTAAGGGACTTAGAACTCATGGTAGATATGAAGACAGCAAGAAAACAGTTACATAAATGAAGGCTAGTCTAGTTTATTCCAAAGTTTTAAAATAAAAAACAAACATGTTATCATTGTTATCATTAAGGTAATTTATGTTTATCATTAAGAACTTATGGAGATTAGGAAAAGCCAGACACGAAACAGATAAATGTTATCCCAACTGTCAAAGGGGGAAAGGTCAATTCTCCTGGTTCTTGCTACTTAAAGCATTTTCCATTGGTCAGCAGCATTGGTATCAACTGGGCACTTGTTAGACATGCAGAATCTTAGACTCTACCACAGACCTCTTGAACCAGAATCTGCATTGTAACAAGATCCTCAAGTCATTCATGTATACATTAAAGTTTGAGAAGCACTCCTACAAGTTACTGTGGGTTAGGTAATTGCTTGAGCTTTAAGAAGTGCTATTAATTACTGTCTTAAAGTGTGGCAGAATTCTAGAATGGATTGTCAAAAATGAAAAAATATATACACATAAATATATACATAAACACAATTTTTGAGCATCTCAGTTAAAAGGAACTGGCTTAAGTTTTACATTACTGGAGGATGCCTTTAACACTTAAAAAAACATGAGTCTACTAAGTGCTGGCCATGGTTCTAGATATAATGTATTTTGATTTAAGTAGAGCATTTGAAATTACTTCATATGATACCCTTGTGGAATAAAGGGGCAAATATGGCTGGATGAAAGTAATGCACATTTTCAGAAGAGTAAACCACCATATTGAAGAATATTCATTTTAAAATTTCTTATACCAGGTTGCCCATTAGCTATAGACTCTGGTTTTACTTATCCTATAATAATTTTATCACACTTAAATTATTTCAGTTACTTGTAGACCACTGTAAGCCCCTGAGTTTATACACAGTGTGTCTTATTAACAACTGTTTTCCCAATGCCTTGTATGGTGAATGTTCTTTAATAGAAGCTTCATAACTACTTTGAATGATTAAAATGAATGAACTATTGAAAACATGTCTGGCTGGGCAGGGCTCTCTCTCCTGGTGTTCTGATAGGCATCAATTCTCAAACTTGAGCCTAGCAATTCTATAAATGACTCGAATAAAGAAACAGTGGAAATGCTGTTACATTTGCAGATGACAGAGGCTGGGATAGTGTGATGACTAGCTTATGAATGCTTGTCGTGGAACAATGAAATGGAAAAATAAGAAAATTTAACAAAGTAAGTGTAGTATATGAACTTTGTTCTTAAAAATCAGCTGCATTAATGAAGGATGGGAGACCTGGCTTACTAATAAGTTGCCAGTAAAAGTCGATAACAAAGTGGAAGGTTAGTGTGATCTCAGGTTGTTTGAAAGTATTTTCACTATCCAGAACCTCACAAATTGTGACCCACTACATTCTGAACTGATTGGAACATGCAGCATTTTGTCCAATTATGGATGGAACTTGGAGAAATGTTGACAAATTAGAATAAGTGAATGGATTTCATGAGGTCTATAGTTGCCCATGGTTATAATAGGAGTTATAATAGGTTTTAATTAAGTGTATCAATTCCTCTAAAGAATAGAATATAGTCACTGGTATCTTCTTGGCTGTTATTTACTGTCCTTTGTTCATCTGTCATCTGGAAATTGTACTAAAAATGATGACTTTCCCATAGACCTTTCCCAGCCTTTCTGTGTAATCATTATTTACATATTTGAATTCTTATGCTTTTGAGATAACTTCATTAAATAATTGGTAGTACTGAGGGAGAAATCTGATAGCCAACGCAAACCTTTTCAAGTGTTAGTGTAAAAAAAGCAAGTATCTAAGTTGGATGATTGCTATGCTTGATTTTTTTTTGTTTTTAAAGCAGTTACATGGAACACTCAGTGATACTCCCTAAGGTCAGAACTTAGGTCAAAGGAAGAATTTAGAGGTACTCAATTATGGCTGCTCAACCAAGGGCTGGCCAACAGCAATCTGTTCATTCTTTTAGGAGAAATCAATTGGGGTTAATTGGTGTAAGGTCATGGGGTAGTTCAAAGGTCCCAAATCTTTAGAAGCTTACTAATCTTCATATATAATTTTATTCTATAAACTTGATATAATACAAAACCTTTCTGTAATGTATGTGTGATTATTACTACACAGTTTTATAGACTCCTTTTCATGTACATGACACCTTTTTATCTTTGGGCATGTAATGAAGAATAATGTTAAAGTGTTAAACTGATCAAGCTAGATGAGATATGATAATAAGTAAAAAACACAGGCACAGTGGATGTGGCAAGTGAATATTCACACAATCTGGAATTTTAAATCTAGATTTCCTTATATTACTCATAACCTTTCAGTGAATTTTAACCACTAGATAAAAAAATAAATGTGGGCATGAAATAACTACAAAATATTAGAACATAATCTATTTATTACTGCCAAATAACTTAGTGGTAACCTGAAATCATGGATATCATATGGTGAATATTGAATTTTAGTAATTTAATGTTATATAAGAATTCTCTGAAGACAATGTCTCTATGTATCATTTAAAGTGTTCTTAGGAAATAGAATTTGTTTGGAAATAAGGTATTCTAGTGTGATATTAAAGTAACATACAAGTCTGATTAGAAAATGTAAGTTCATTTTACAGACACAATTTTATTAAAAATCAACTCAGATTTTAAAATAACTAATGCTGAAGTCACTGCTGCTGCATTAAAAATACATGCTTATTTGTGTAAGGCATTTCCACTTATTGGCAAGGTTCATAGAATAAATAATTTTATGTTTATTACTAAAAGGTTTTCATATATAGTTGAATAACTTTATATGCCTTATAGCATATCTACTGAAATTGCAGATTAGCACAAAGATTCTAGTGTGGAGAAAATATGGTGGTATATGCTAAGGAAAATAAAACAAGTCTTTAACACTTGTTTGAGCCAAGAAACGTGGTTTTTAAAACTAACTTTAAAAAGAAAAAACTTTTTTCCAATTTTAGTGGATAGATGGTGGTGTTAAAATGCAGAGGTCTTGGTTTTGTATTGTGTGTATACAATAATTAGACAAACTGTCTGTTAAAGGAGTTTTTAACCCCCAATTATGAATGTTCCTGTTAAAAGTCTTGAATATAATACCAATTAAATAAAAAGTAGTTAAACATTTAAGGTATAAACTTTATTGAAAATAAAGCTACAAATTTGGCCTTGTCTCAGAAAATCCTGTATGCATGTAATGAATTTATGTAATTTGACACTGTAGGTAAAAATTGCAATAGTTCCAGAACCTCTTGCCTGGCCTTACTTGTTTTATGTAACCAAGGTGTTTAGTGCTTCAGCCTCTCTGGCAGCCTCTGGAGACCAGGGACGGAGAGAAGCTGTTCTCTCCTCCCCTCTGTTGCAATTGGTCAGGCACCTGTTAGTCTCCAGGGCTCTGCCTGCAGAGTTTCTCCCGGAAGTGGCGGTGGGAGGAGGCAGGGGAGAGGGGAGGGTGTGCTGGGATGAGAGAGGAGCAGAGAGGGAGATTGGCGGCCAGGGGAGACCTACAGAGCCAGGTCTCTTGTAAGCAATAAAGAGCTTCTCCCCATCTAGCTTTTCCCTTGACTGATTTTTTGGCTTCACCAGTTACACTCGTTTATTCGCTCTGGGCTGGGAACATGCTTTCCCCCACCCTGGAGCTACCCACACCATATGTTTTCTTCTCATCTGTGTTTAGATTTGATTTTTCCAGTTCCAAAATTACAATAGCCTTGCATTGTAGTCAGTCTGTAACCATATCTCTTGCTTCAGGTTCTAACTTAATTGTTTACCATATTATAATGTATTTTTTAATAGTCTGGTGTATGACTAGTTGAAGGGCACAATTTTGTTTAGCTGCATGATGTATATTACCTTATATACCAATGTCATCACTAAGTGATCTAAGTAAAATAAAAAAAAATCAGCAAAGGGATAAAGATGGAAATGTAATCTAATCTGTTTTTACTGAGCTAATAAGGAAGGCCTGAAAGTTATTCAAATAGACCTTGGGGCACTCTTTCTTGAAAAAAGAGTAAAATAATGCCTCCTTTATCTACCCTCACTGGGAAATGTAGGAAATCAGAGCAGTTAGTTTAGTAAAATGGAGGCTTATCCCTTTAAGCCCCTAAATTCTTTTTATTTTTGCCCTTGGGGAAACAATGTACTTTTTTTTTTAATGGCTCAGGGCCTTTGTTATTCTACCCAGCAATACAGGAACTTGAGAATGTAGGGAGCTTCTGTCCACATTAAATAGCTGCAGAATACTTTTATTGTTTCTTTCTAATTTTTAAAAATAATTCCTTTTTTCTCTTGTTCTTTAGCACATTTTTCTGCTTTATGTCTATCTGCTTGTTTCTAATTTGCTGCCTACATTTAGGTGCAATACCAGACCTGCCTTGCCCTCAATTTTTCTAGGAACTCAAGTTTTATGCCAATTTATTTATTCTTATCTATTCTTCCAGTTTAGTCATTAATCCTGGTTTCCTCTACTGCAACCATGTTCCCCATTGCTGGGAACTCTTCTCATTGCCTGCTTCTGAAAAGTCCCTTGATTCCCTTACTTCTGGAAGTATTCCATTGCTTTCTCACTCCTGACTAAGGTAGAATACCCAGAAAAGATTTTTTTTTTTGTATTTAACAAAAATGCTTTAGGGAAGGATTAGAAAATAAAATAGCATCAGAGAGGGGATATCTCCTGTATACTTCAAAGGGAATTCCCAATTGTCCTTGAAAAACTGTATTTCCAAAGGCAGTGGACACGTGTGCTCTGGTGTCAGGAGGGCAATAGCAGCACTTTGCATGTGTGATACTGGACAGGGTTTCCTTGAAGAGACAGTGGGCCTGGAAGAGAACTTGGGTCCAGTGGGTATTGTAATCTCTGTCTGACAAAGTGTTTTGGGAGATAGTTACACAGTAATGGTGCACTGAGTAGAAGAAAATTATTTTCATGGATTTAAACATCTGTCCTCTGAAAATTGAGGCTTGACCAGCTGGAACTTCCCCAGAAAGCAATTAGGTCTTTTTCCTGCTCTCATGTACTTTCCCAGGAAGGAAGTGGTGTGCTCTTCTGAAGACAAGCCCCAGGCCTGGAATCAGAAAGCAGCCAGAGCTAGTAGTCATAAATGTAATGAGTTGGAAAGCATTTTAAAATGCTGTACTATTTATGGTTATTAACCCGAGGTTCTTGGGCCTGCAGAGCAGTGGTTCTTAAACTTTCTGGTTGAGGATACCCAGAGCTTTTGTTTATGTGGGCTGTATCTATCAATATTTACAAAATTAGAAATTAAAATAGAAAAAATTAAAATGAATACAGAAGCCCACACTCCCCTTAACTGTTAGAGTGATGGAGTCATCATGTGTTGTGTAGCCTCTGGCAAACCCTGCTGTACTCTTTGGAGAAAGTAGGACTGAAAAAGCAATTAACATCTCAGTATTACTATAAAAGTAGCTTTGACTCTGTAGACCCACTGAGAGTGTCTTGGGGAAGTTCAGTGATTCTCAGACTACTTTAAGAACTATTGTCCTCAGTGGTCTATGAATAGAATTCAGGAGATTTGGGCCCTTAGAGGAAAAAAATATTATGTATTTATTTTCTCTAATTTCCAACAAAACCATATCATTTCCTTTCATGTCCACTGTAGGCATAGTCCACAGTTGTTATCTTTGTTACCAGTGAAAATCACAGATATATTCATAACATATCAAGTTATTGCAGATATCTTAAAATATCAATTATGTTCATAACTACTTTGAAATTATGGTAGTTATTAGACCTGCTGCTAGATCTTGTTAATGTGTTAATAAAAAGGTACCCAATTTGTATTTTATAATTTAAAATTACTTTGATAACTGTATTTTAATATAATCAATTTCCTTTGCAATCCTGTCTTGTATGCATTTAAGACATTATTTTGAGAAGAGGTCAGTGGGCACACAAAAGATTAAGAACTCTTTAGAATTTCAAGGCCCTAGAAGTCCTCCAGTGTGCTGTCCTCATGCAAATGTCTGCTGTGTATTGGTTGGGATCCTGGTGATATGCTGAGATCCTGAAAGGTCAGCAAGCAGGTGTGCTGTAGTCGGGTAAATTCCCTGTTGACAAGCAGTATGTACCTGACACTTCATTCTTGGTTATTCAGTGCAGCCTTTAGAATTGTACTCCCCTGCAGGAAATTAGATATTTGCCCATTGGTTTGAGGAGTAATCCATCTTCTTTTTTCTTAGAGAGTCAGAAATAGCCTGTTGGATTAAAAAGCTTGTTCTGCTTGTTCTGGCATTATGAGAGCTTGCCTGAAATGCTCAGCAACCAACTCTGAATTGTCAACACTTACGAATGAGTGTGGGATGCTCAAAAGGATTCTAAATTAAATAAATAACCCAAACTAAGAAATAATGAAATAAATTGAGGCTGTTCTTTTCACCTGTTGGAATAAGCTTGTTGGCGTTTTTCAGGAGTAGTTTGAATGTCAGAAGTGGAAAATGACTCTGAAAGGACATAGCCCTGACCTTTGGATCATGTGATTCATCTTTATTCTTCTTGGCTTGTCTCTCAAACGTAAACCCTTTGAAGATGTTGTGATGGTGTAGTAAAACAGAGCACTGCATTAGGTGTTAGTGACTAGTTTTGTTCTACCTTTAGCTGTGGGATATTGGGAGAATATCTCAGCCTCTATATCTCAGTGTCCTCATTAACTACTACAGAGATTCTATAGCTCAAATGGTCTATAATAACTAGAGGTCTGGGAATATATTCATTCATTCCATTGAAATTTATTGGACACCTAACATATTGGAACCAAACATCATATTGGGCATTGGCGATTCAATAGAGAACAATACATGGTCCCTTCCCTCAAGGAATCTAGAGTTTAACCAGCAAGTAAAGATTCATATAGAGCCCTCTCTCCAGAGATAAAATATTAGAAATTTCTGGCAAATTCCATGAAGATTGTCAATTCACATTCTCATAACATCAACAGGGTCATTCTTAATATTAATTGGAACCTCTGAAAAGTGGTCCCTTATCAGCTTCCCATAATGAACTTTCATTCACTCAACCAACCTTTACCAAGGGTCTAAAATATATTAGACATTCTCCTAGACCCTGGATCACAGGTTCCTTGCCCTGAAGGGGTTCATGGGGCAAAGAGATACAAACAACTAAATAAGGTGATAAGGGCTACATTGAGTATGTACAAGGTATTCACATACACAGAGGAAGGTACACCTGACCCAATCAGATGCTGGTAGTTGTAGAAGGTCAGGGAACACAGGAGTTGGCATATATAACTAGACTTTGAGAGCTGAGTAGCAATTTGCAAGGTGGAGAAGATAATGCCAGTGTGATCATGGTTTGGGGTCTGGTCTGGTATCAGTCCATTTCAAATTCTGAAGCCTGGGCTGGGGTAATGTCATCTTTTAAATGCCTTGATATAATATTGAAAATGTTATTGATGAGTGGGTTGGGGCTTTTGGTTTTGCTTTTGGACATAAGATCCCATTTGTAACTTTTTCTTCAATGTTCATGTATGTATTTTAGAAAAAACACCCAGGTTAATGCCTGATAAAGGAAGCATGTATTACCCACGGGTACAACATTATCGAGAACTGCTTGACTCATTGCCAATGGATGCCTACACACATGGCTGCATTTTACATCCTGAGCTAACTGTGGACTCCATGATCCCAGCTTATGCAACCACAAGAATTCGCAGTACGTAAACAGCTTAAAGACCTGGAATTCTGTCTCAAGTTTATTTTAATTCATTTTTGAGATCCAGCCCATCTCATGAAGACATAGGGACATGGTTGTTGAGTCTGCTTCATGGAAATGAGTCTTATAGATTGATCCATGCACCAGTCGGGTTAATCTGTGCTTCAGCTGTTTAGCTGTATGTTTATTGGCCATAGGAGCTGATTTCTAAGTTGTTGGCTTTGATGGCTAAGCCTAGATCAAAGTCAGAAGAGTGGTCTATGGAAAAGTATAGAACACAATGTGTTCTCATGGACAAATTGGCTAGGAATCAGGAAAGTGGGGATGTGCTGGGGTGGGTAATTGAGCTTACTTTGTAGTCTTGATTTTTGTTTTATTACTATTAGCTGGTGTAAGGCTGTCTGCTGCTCTAATTTCAGTGACTGGAGATTTATTGAGGTTGAGTTGTGATATCCAGCTCTTTCCTTTCCTCCTGTCCTGAGGACAGGGTAGGGTCAGTGCATGAGATGTGGAGCAGAAGCGGGTGTGCTGTATGGCACAGACCATTGGGATAGGAAGGGAAGGGAGCGGGGCTGTGGTCAGACTCTGGGGGCGTTTGACTAGGATCCTTCAAACTTAGATTTCTAATTCTAGCAACTATGTTCTTGCATTATGTCATACCTCACCTTTATCACTCTCTTACATTACTTTTCTTTCTTCCTGATACTTCTCCTGTCCCCTCACCTCTTTCTTCCCTTCCCTTCCCTCCCCTTCTCTTCTCCCCTGCATTTTTCTCCCCTCTTTTCTGGTTTCTCACCTTCCTGTTCCTCCTCCTCCTCTTCATAAGTGTTCATTATATGATTTCAAACAAGTATTATGACTACAGTGCTATCACCTGGAGTTACTATTTTTTTTTTAATATGGCCCATTCCTTCCCTTTATATAGACATTTATTACAGAAAACTTGAAAGGTATTGAAAGGTAATGCAGTCACCCTGCACTGAGCATGGATGATGTACTGGCCTTGCTTTAATCCCTAGCCTATGTCGCAGACACTCTGACAGTTCCATTTTAAAGCTGAGGAAACTAAGGCACAGAGAGGGTCAGTCCGAGGCAGAGGCCGGGTGTGAGCCGCAGAGCTAATGCTCTTACCAGCGAGTTCCCCTGCTTCTCGTTTCTAGTAATGAAGGGAGGAAATGATTTTCCATTTCAAAAATGATTTTGTTGTCAGGCCAAATTGGTAACACAGAATCTGAACTGAAAAAACTTGCTGAAGAAAACCCAGATTTACAAGAGGCCTACATTGCAAAGCAGAAACGACTTAAAGTAAGTAAACCAGGCTGTCTTCAGTTGACATCCACTGTTTGTATTACATGTTCTACTTTTTTAAATAAAAGATTTCCAGAATATCTTCTATTAAATATCACCAGTCATCAATACATATATTATCTTTGGCTTATGGTTTTGCTTTTGGAAATAATTTTTCTTTATTAGATTTCATATTCAAACCTAATGAAACAAATCCTTAAAAAAGAAGATATTGCTCATGATGCTTTCTAAGAAAATATATAAGATGTAAAAGTGAGTTAATAAAGTATTCTAGGAATCTCTCACTTCAGGTATACTGCTACTTAAAGGCATTGCTAGCCCTCTATGACTTCTTTTCCTTGTTTTCCTACAAATAAGGCATTGGCAAGTTTGTTCTTCAAAACATACTCTTCTCCCTCCTCTTGTTTTTTTTTTTTTACCTTTAGACTACCTTTACTCATTTCTTCCTCTCCACTCTCCTTGCCTCTGGCAACCACAGTTCTGTGTATTTATGAGTTTATTTTTTTTAAGATTCCACATATAAGAGGAATCATATGGTATTTGTCTAATTTCTTTGAAATAGATCTGCCTGACATAATAATGCCCTTCAGGTCCATCTATGTTGCCACAAATGGCAAAATTTCATTCTTATGGCTAATTAATATTCCATTATATCTATGTACAACATCTTTTTTATCCATTCATTCATTGATGGATACTTAGGTTATTTCCATATCTTGGCTACTGTAAATAATGCTGCAGTGAACATGGAGATGCATATATCTTTTTGAGTTAGTGTTTTCATTTTTTTCAGATAATACCCAGAAGTAGAATTGCTGGATCACTTGGTAGTTATATTTTTAATTTTTTGAGGAACTGCCATGCTATTTTCCTTAGTGGCTGCAACAATTTACATTCCCACCAACCGTGCACAAGGGTTCCCTTTCCCCATGTCCTTACCAGCACCTGTTATTTCTTGTTTATTTTTTGATCATAGCCATTCTAACAGGTATGAGGTATGAGGTGATATCTCACCTTGGTTTTGATTTGCATTTCCCTGGTGATTAGTGATGTTGAGCACCTTTTTACATACCATTGTACATACCATGTATATGTCTTCTTTTAAATTAGATTTTTTTTTTTTGCTGTTGAATTGTATAAGCTCTTTGTATATTTTGGATATTAGTCCCTTATCAGATAATTTGGAAATATTTTTTCCCATTCTGTAGGTTGCCTTTTCATTTTGTTGATGGTTTCTTTTGCTGTGCAGAAGCTTTTTAGTTTGATGTAGTCACATTTTGCTCGTTTTTGCTTTTGGTGTCAGGTTGAAGAAGTCATTGCGAAGACTGATGTCAGGGAGCTTACTGCCTGTGTTTTCTTCTAGGAGTTTTATGGCTTCAGGTCTCATGTTCAAGTCTTTAACCCACTTTGACTTGTCTGCCTCCTAAGGAGCCAGGCTTTGCTTCATCGGTCATAGTGAGCCTTTGTCTTTCTGGAGATTTTTTTCTCATGGCTCAGCAGCATGTGTAAGCTTCTCCCATATTAAAAACATAGCAAACATAACACTCCTAACCTTCCCTTAAACTTCCCATTTTCCTTTATCTCAGCTAAGTGAGCTTCTCAGCAGAAATGCCTTCACACATAGCACTCCTTATTTTCCATTTGCTCTTTAATTCACTTCATTTATATTTTTCCGTTTGCCCTGCCCCTTCCTTTATTCATTCACTGAAGACTGCTGCAATTCCATTCTTGAGTTGGGCATGAGAGGAGTCTCTTTGTACCCATCATATTCATTGCCTTCTCTGGTTATCTGGTCCTGCAGGAATTGCCAGTGAGCAGTGGGTCTGGCTATTTCCACAGCCAGAGCATCTTCTCAGCTTTGCATTTTGCTTTAACAAAGTTATTCTATTTTTCTCATTGTTTAGAATGAACAGGCTCCAACTCTGTAAGAGTTTATATCTGCTTTGCTCTACATTGATTGCTTTTACAGACATAAATAAACTGTTTAGTTATTTTTGTTAATTAGTCAAAGCTGCTTGACCATGACAATGTCAAATATTTGAAGAAAATTCTTGATGAATTGGAGAAAGTCTTGGATCAGGTTGAAACTGAGTTGCAAAGAAGAAATGAAGAAACCCCAGGTAGGTTCTCATTGTATGTATTTTCTCTTCTGAATACCAGGAGTACTTATCAGAACATTCTTAGATTTCACCAAAAACATTCTGTAATCTGTTTTTATTGTTATTTATGGGTAGTTTAAGTTAATGATAGCAACAATCATTGAATTCAGTAAAGCCCAGGTGTGTAGTTGTAACTCAGTCTGCATCTATGTGAAATATGACTGGTGAAAGATTTTTCTGCACAATCTAAGATATGGTTGGAAGATTCCTACCTAGCCTGTTTTACAGATTTGTAATTACCGGAGTTATTTTGTAATTAACTGAGTGATAGTTGAGTATAACTCAGTGTGACCTGAGAATGCTCCCTCTAGTTTTTCCCTTAAGGAGAGAACTTCCAGTGTAAAGTAAAGTATAAAATGGGGCCAGCCTTGTATACCTGCAGGACAGCTGGTGATTATCCCTGTATTGTACGTGTGAACCTGACTTCATGATGAAGCTGTTGCCCAGGTGCACTCACATAGACAGCAAAGGTGAAGACTATCTTACCTGAAACTTGCTTTACAACAGGGATTTTCTTTTGCTTTAAGTCATTAACTAGGAGCAGCAACTACTCAGTAGCATTTTAGGCACAGGTTTATGACTTTTCCTAAAGTACACCTGTTGTTTTCCTAAACCAAAAGGAAATATCTGTTAACTCCTCTGGCTTGAAGGCTTTCAACTCCTGAGAATTCTTTACAAAATGATAGACAGGCTTTGAGCTCAAAAGGCTCCAGTTTCACCTAGGAATTTAGGTGGGAAACAAGATGTCAAGCAAGTTTCCTTTACTTGGGATACATTTGCATGGATTTTTTTTTTAGCATAAAATTATGTGCAGAGTGTGATTGTCAAAAAAAGGTTTTATGGCCATTCATCTTTTGCTATAGTCACATTTGCCCTCAAGACTGAGACAAAATTAGAGTCTGTCTGTACAGCACTTGCCCCTAATTCTCCATGTCCCTTTCTCTGATTAGAAGAGGGCCGCCAGCCTTGGCTCTGCGGAGAATCCTTCACCCTGGCAGATGTCTCTCTTGCTGTCACATTGCATCGACTGAAGTTTCTGGGGTTTGCGAGGAGAAACTGGGGAAATGGAAAGCGACCGAACTTGGAAACCTATTATGAGCGTGTCTTGAAGAGAAAAACATTTAACAAGGTTTTAGGACATGTCAACAATATATTAATCTCTGCTGTGCTGCCAACAGCATTCCGGGTGGCCAAGAAGAGGGCCCCAAAAGTTCTTGGCACCACCCTCGTGGTTAGTTTGCTTGCAGGAATGGGATATTTTGCTTTTATGATTTTCAGGAAGAGACTTGGAAGCATGATTTTAGCACTGAGACCCAGACCAAATTACTTCTAGGCGTGTAGGGATCTCATGGTGGCAGCTCCTCCAACCATCCAGCTAGACCCTTGTCCGTTCTTCCAGGCTCAGTGAAGAATGACCCTGGGCAACTAACAACAAGCATAATTTACTTTACTCTTTGGGTAGTTTATGAGCGAAGAGGCAATGAAAATGTTTTTGTGGGCTGGTAAGTTTGAGAATACATCCTGAAAACATTTGCAAGGTCAAGATATATAAATGCTGACAGGTAGAGAATAGACCCTTAATTCAAGTCTAGTTCAAGTTCTGAATTATGTATTTTGGGAGAAGGTTATTACTGTGAGCAGACAGTAATAATAACCTGTGATTGCCTATAGCTCTTCATCTGAGATTATCTGGATGCACTGGGTGTTGAATAGTTAGCAACATTTTCTCCTGGAGTTCAGAAATGATCTTCATTACATGGGTTCAGAAAGCAGCATGGCATGTGCTTGGGTAGTGGGTCTTTTGATGATCTGGGAGTACAGATATGCTCACTGTACATTAGAGGAGGCTGGTGTTTCAACACAAAAACTGTTGTGTAGGCTTACGTCTGTTTTTTGTTTTCAGCAAAGCCTTAAAATGTTACAGAGAAAGGTCTAGTCCTGGCCTGCAGCAATTAATTTAGGGGAGATAAAATAAGTCGACAGTGATGTCTACCTGTATTCATTCTTGTATATCTGGACTCCTTGAGGGGTTCCTCAGTTCATCTGGAAGGGATAAACCCAGTGCATTCCCATGAACACCCGTGGAACTGCATCATATAGTTTATGCTCGGGAACACTCTTATGGTGACAGGAAGTGTTTCTTTGGAGTTGGCCACAAATGTTTTGGGAGCAGTTTTAGGTCTCTGGCAGGAAGTATGTAATAGAGAATGATGAGCTAAGGTTCCAGTGAACAACAAAAGCTTTCTTGGACTGCCTTTTGCACAGGTTGGCTGTGAAAAATAGCAAAAGAATGTACTGACTTTTTCATTAGTTGGAAGCAGTCATGCTTGAGAAACAATGACTTTTTGATGGTAAGTGATTCTATCATTCCATTTCATGAATCAGTTTTAGAAAATCTTGATGAAATGGATGTTCCCTGTTTACAAAAAATTAATAAATAATGTCTCCAGTGTAATCTCAATCCAACAAGTATGAACAGACTGGCAGCTTTTATAATGTCTCAATTTTGCTCCTCACTACATTGTTGTATAGAGCGTCTGAAATTGTTGCTCGGACATTCCAATCCATGTATTCATAAAAGAGCCACAAAACTGATTATTGAGTAGTTCATCATGTTTCAGAGTTCTTTATGGCACCGTTAGAAGAACTCAGACATAAAGAAATCAAAATTGGATTTTTATAAAAATCTATGTTGGATATTTACTAATGTAAGGGTTGTTAAGAATAAAGATTAGAAGCCCAATGCTGGGTTTTCCTTAAATTTACATTATTACTGAATCAGAGAAGACCTTTAGGAAGTGTTTGTGATTTTATGCTACAGTTTCACTGGAAATACGCATGTGTCAATATTAAAGATCATACATCCTGGTGATTTTACTTGTAATGCAGATAGCCTTGAGTTCTTTCAAAACGTTTGTTTAGGGATATGGTGACCACTAGATGTCGCCATTCATCCAGTAGTCTGAGATGGGGCATTCTTTAGATTCAGCGAGACTTCTGATACAAGTGAAGATAAAAATTAATGACCTTAGTTTCTGAAATGAGGGCATCTCCATCAGATCATTCATCTGTAAAAAAGCTTGAGGCACATGTAGTATTGATTTCTAATGTTTTGAAAGGGGTAACTACCATACAATATCAAGTTAAAGAGCTAAATGTACACTATTAGCCAAATAGGCACTTTTATATATTTTCTTTTTCACAGTCATTGGTGATTGGCCAGTGTGCTACTGAGTTTCCAAAATTTGTGTAAATATCACAATTAGATATGTGAGGAACTGAATTTATGTTAGCTATTTATGTTTTAACACATAAATACTATTTTATTGTTATTGCAATTATATGCTTTTTGGATCCATTTTCCTTATCGCAGATGTAAATTGCTTGCTAGAATTTTAGTAATTATTGATATTGACATCAAAGTTATAGATATTTGGTATTGTTGAATGTAATAGAAATATCAAGATACTGTTCTGCCTATAAGATCATTAAAGGTAATTGGAAAATAAATATGAGCACTAATTTTGTAATCTTTTTGAGAAAATGTGTATTTTTCACTAAAATCAAAACAAGGTGTGATAATTAAAGTAAAATAAGCAGAAGTTAAATATTCAAGATTCAGCTATAGGATGTCATATTTTCCTTATAACATACAATTACTGATTCAAGATTTATTTATATCCCACAATTTTATGAATAAGAAAGGCAGCTTAAAAAATAACATATTGATCCTGATCACTAAGTTCTTTTGCAGCCAGCCACCTAACAGCAGATAACAGGAAAATGGTAAGCACCAAGAGAGTATTTTTTTCCAAAATAGTTTTGTTTTATTGAGTTATGGATCATGAATATTCAAAGTACCATCCACGTTTTCACCTTAGTAAGCTTAGCCATTATTGTAATCATCAGATAGAAATTCAATCAAGTGATACACAACTCTGTAATCTGCTCAGGGGAAAGCACCATGGTAAAGACACAGAAGTCAAATTAATGCAGTAAGTAAATTAGTATTTAGACAGCATTTATATTGCTTATGCCAAATGTTTGGCCCATTTACATTGTTATTCTCTATTTGTTCGTATTAGAGTATCTTGGTTTTCTAATTCCCCAGAACACTTGTGTTTTCCTACATAGGATAGAAGTTCCCAAACCAAGTGAGGAATTGTAGTTTCTAGAGTGAGGGTAGTAGTTTTAATTGTGTATTATGCTATGAAAATGAAGAGAGGGGGAGGGAAAGAGAACTTGCTTTCTGGGTTAGAAAGAAGGTGCCTTGATGAAAGCAATGCCCTGCATTATTTGCATTTGAGTTGAGCCCTGGAAATTCTGTCTTATGAGGGAGAAAGAGTCTTTATATGGGGTAGAGCAGGGCTCTGTTATAAAGGCAATAAGGCCATGTGGAGCTTAAGACAAATCATGCTTATGATGGGCCTTGATATGCTGTTTAAATAGGGTGGTGTATCCATCCATAGTACCTCCTTTGGGGAGGTTCGAAGTTTTTTGTCTTTAGCCTTTCACTTTATTCATTATTTATACATAAGGTCTTTGATTACAGTGTGCTGTCAATAAACTAACTCCCTTATTAAGAGAAACCAGTAGTATGGGTGAAAATATAAAGATGTTAATGAAATGTAAGGCAAAGTCTCAGGTTTCCATGCCAACAGCAATTTTCACACATATATGCATATTAATTTCTAATCAAACAGGTGATATTTCAGGCAGATAGCCAGTATGTGTAACTTTTTGTATAATCAGATCAGCTATGTTTTGAATTTAAGAACTTGATATTCAACAGTCACACATAATCACCAAATACACATCAAAATAAAAATGTACTTCCAGAGATTCCATATTTATTAAGTTCAGTGCTCCAAAGAAAGTAGAGGTTTACATTCAGAAAATTCTATGAACCAAAAAATTTTACCTAAAAGCAGAGGTATCTATGTTTATAAAAATGGCTATGAATTACTCTCATTCCTCCACTCATTTACTTGCAATGGGATGTTATCAGTCCTCCCACCAAGAAATAGCATCCTCAAAGCCTGAATACATTAGGCTCACCAGAGAGGAACTTAGTAGAGATATTAGTCATCAAATGGTGATGAAAGTCATTGGAGGTCCTCTCTGGGCAGAGTGGAGGGCCTTATTAACACCTTGTTCATCACCCAGGCAGAAGTAAGGGTCATGCCCTGCGTAAGGCCTAATTTAGACCAGAGTTTTTCAGTCTTGATATTGTGGGCCACATAATTTTTGTTCTGAAGTGCTGTTTTGTGTGTTGTAAGAGGTCTCTGCCCACTAAATGCTATAGCTTACACTTGATTCCCTGTTGTGACAACCAAAACTGTCTTCAGATATTGCCAAATGTCACCTGGGGATACAATTTTCTCCATTTGCACATTGCTGCTCTGCACCTACCCTAACAAAGCCTAAGCCAAGCCATGACAAGGTCTGCAGGAGAGCTAGATTTTGTAGGTTGGGTTCTGCCAAGTTAGAGACGATTGGAAAACATCTTGGGTTTCCACATATCCCCCATAACAAAGCATAAACACAAACCTACACAATTTAAAGATTATTAGCCAGTAACTGAACTGCCTACTAGAATAAGATTCAATGCCCTTAGAGAGGAGATAACAGAATCCAGAGTCTCTGTGATGTACCATTAACAATCTCCAGTACACAGTAAAAAAATTACCAAACATGCAAAGATACAGGAAAATATGATTCATTGTCAATAAAAAGTGATAGTAAATAGAAACAGAATATGATATGACTTAAATGTTGAATTTAGCGAATACTTTAAAGCAGTTAAAGGACAATATATGTTCATAGAATTAAAAGAAAATGTGGTCTGATTGAGTTGACAGGGGATCTCAGGAGAGAAATACAAAAGCATAAAGAAGATGGAAATTGTAAAATAAAATACTAAATGGAAATTCTAAACTAAAAAATTACTGTAAATGAAGTTAAATATCCACTGGATAGACTTCACAGCAGCTAGGAGATGGTAAGGGAAAGATAAGGGAATAGAACCTCAGGGACACATGGATACTATATATATATTATAGAAGCAGACAAAGAGAAGAAAGTAAGAATGGGGCAGAAGAAAATACACAATGCCAAATTTCTCCAAATTTGATGAAAAATGTTGACTTACAAATCCAAGAAAATCATTGACTCAATAAAAGATAAATACCAAAAAAGTCAAACCTAGGAACATCACAGACCACTAAGAACTAACAAAGAAAATCTTGAAAGCAGCCAGAGGGGAAAAAAGACATAACGTGTAAGTGAACAACACTAAGAGTTTACTGAGTTCTCATCAGAAATAGGGAATGTCAGAAGACAATAGAAATGTCTTTAAAATGCTGTTAAGAAATTCCTCAGATTCCTATATCTAGAGAAAATACTACTTAAAAATTGAGTGGAAAAAAGACATTTTCAGATAAATGGAAGCAGAGTAGAATTGGATCCAGCAGGCCTGAAAAACAAAAAATTCAGAACATGTTCTTCAGGCCGATGGAGTGTACCAGATGGAAGCTCAAGTCTACAGAAAGGGGGTTAAAAGCACCAGGAATGGCAAATAAGCAGGTGGCATAAAAGACTGTTTTTATTTCTTCCTAATTTCCTTAAAAGGCAACCAACTGTTTAAAACAAGAATAACAGCATTATAAGATGGACTTATAATATATATAGAAGTAAGTATAAGCAAAAAGCACAAAAGTTGAGGGTGATGGATAAATGGAATTAAACTATTGTAAGCCTATTAGATTTGTAGAGTGTGCAGCATGAAGTGTACAGAGGGATGTGTCAATGTCAAGTGTGCAGTAGTACCATTTTGACTCTGAATAGACTCTAATAAGAATGCATTGTTATCACGGGAAGAACACAAACATTTAATTCAAAAAAGCCAAGATATCGATAGGAGGGAAGAAATATGAAAGGAGCAACAGAATGAAAAAAAGAGACAAATGGAAAACAGTTAGCAAGGTGGTAGACTTAAACACTCCATACCAATAATTATTATAAATGTAAATTGTAATGTAAATTACATTAAATGTAAAATGTTCCAATTGAAGGTCAGAGATTGTCAGATTAGATGGAAATGAAAGACACAAGTATATACATCTATTAGAAATACACTTTAAAGATACATACAAATTAATGGAACATGAAAGGATGGAAAGTGATACACCAGGCAAATGGCATAAGCTGATGTGGCTTTATCAATTTCAGAAAAAGTAGACTTAAAGGCAAACATTTATAAGACCTAAATGGGGACATTTATAAGTCACAAAAGAACCAATTCATTAGGAAGCATCTATTAACAAAGCTTCAAAATTCATGAAGCAAAAGTTGACAGAACAAATGGAATAAAGTAGTTGGGGAATTTAATAACACTTTCTCAGTAATTAGTAGAACAAGTAGACAAAAAGTAGTTTGAGTGTAGAAGATCTGAGCATCCTCAACCAACTTGAGCTAATTAACATTTATGAAACATTGTAACCAATAAGCAGAATAAACATTCAAGTGCAAATGGAATGTTCATCAAAGTAGACATATACTAGGTTATAAAAGAAATCTCAATTAATTTCCAAAGATGTGTATATTGTGGAATATATTTTATGACCATAACAGAATTAAATCAGAAATCAACTAAAATATTTAGAATATTTCCAAATAGTTGGAAATTAAATAATGCATGTCTAAGTAACCCATCGTTCAAAGATGAAACCATAAGAGAATAAGAATATATTTTGAGTTGAATGATAATAAAAATGCAATGTATCAAAATTTGATATAGCAAGACAGTGTTTAGAGGGAAATTTATAGCTTTGAATCTGTGTAATAGAAGAGAAGGAAGGTTCAAAAATTTTGATGTAAGTTTCCCCTTAAGAGCTACAGAAAAATAGTAAATAAAACCCAAAATAAGCAGAAACAAAAAATAATAGTGCAGAAGTACATGAACAGAAAAATCGACAAGGCTCAAAATTCATTTTTTGAAAGATTAGTAAAATTGGTAAGCCCCGAAAGGATAAATCAAGAAACTGAGTGCTAAGTATAGCTTACCAGTATTACAAATAAAATAAGGACTATCTTACTTTGTCAATTACATATTGTCAATTTTAATAGGAAAATAAAAGAATACTAGGAATAAATTGTGCCAATAAATCTGGCAATTAGGTGAACTGGATAAATTTTTTGAAAAACATAGCTTATCAAAAGTGACTCAAAGATAAGTGAAAAACTGGATTAGCCATATAACTATTAAAGAACTTGAATTTGTAATAAAATGAAAAAATAATTTTCCATGAAGAAAACTCAAGGTCTAGATGTTTGCATTGGTAAACTATATTATGCACAAAGTAAGAAATAACACCAATCATACTGTCTTGCCAATGGGTTTCAGCCCCAGACAAGTTCACTATGAATTCAATGAGACCAGAGAAATGACAGTGGAACATTCTTGGTATCAAAGGATTTATACCCAACTTTATTCCACAGTGGCAGGTCAATCA